TGGTGGGCCCGAGCGCGAGGGGTCCTGTCGTGGGGGGTGTGGTGGGCACGGGCCATCGCAGCGCCCAGGTGGAAACCTGCCCACCCTGCGGTGGGGGCCCGAGTCTTGCGGCTGGCGCTGGGGGGACCCCGCCGAGGGCGCCGTGGCTGCCCGTGCGTGTCCTGCACCCAGGGCGCAAGCGAGCGCGTCTCGCATGCCTCGCCTGCCCCTCGCACGAGACCTGCCCCGGAATCAGTCCCCCCTCAGCTCCCACACCCCGGCTCGCAGATGCGCAGCGCGCCGCAGGTGCCGCGCCGTTCACGCCGCGCACCCCCGGCTCCGGCGCCGCGGCTGCTGTGGGGCGGCCAGGCGGGAGCGCGGCTTCCCCGGGACCGCTGGCGGCTGCCACGCCGCGGACCGACGGCAGCCCCCAGGCCCCGGAGCCGAGGCTGCAGGGCGGCGGGGGGAGTGGCAACATGGCACGATCCCTGCAGCGTGTGCGGGCCGCACTGGAGGGCATGCCTGGCTCGCCGACGGGCACAGAGGAAAGGGTGGCAAGGGGCGATCCTGCTGGCCCGGCCTGACTCGCACCCGTCTCTGACACGCACCCAACCGGACCTGCACTCCTTCCCCTGCCATGTTGCTCGGGAAGCCGTGCCCAAGCTCGTGCAAAAAGCTGTAAGATCAAGCGCTGCCGTGTCCCTGTATGGACCAGCTGACGTGTAGATTCCCAGGGCACTCACGAGAGGGTCGAGGCGCAGCGCGCGCGCTACGTCCCCACCGGAACACAGTCGCTCCCAGAGACCTTGCTGATCAGGCGCATCGCCAGCCCACAAATATACCCAATTGTGAAGTGTTGCATCAAGATCACAGGGCTGAATTATAGGCGGAGTGAGTGCCGCATGATCCCCACTACCGACTCGTCGTCGTTCGCACCCTAGGTGGTGCCAGCAAGTCTCCGGCAGCCTCAGCCGGAATGAGCAGCGGGTACACCGCCCTCCCAAACCTGACGTCTCCAGATGGAGCATCGACCGCACCACCCCTCCCAAATGGCTTCGACGACCCCTCACATCCGGGAGTGAGAGAGAGGTGCGAGGTAGCGGGAGGCCCTGGGGCCCGGACACAGTCTGAAGCGCAGCTCAGCCCCATATTCTCGTACCTGCATGCTGATATTCCTCACATAACTCACGTTTACCAATCAATTCTAGGGTGGCACGGTGGTGGAAGGACTCTGTCGGGTGGGGGTCCCCCCCTCGGCCCCCTCCCCCTCCCAGCAATTACCTCACGCTGATCCCACTCTCGGATGCACGATTGCAACCGCGGGACACTCGACTCACAGTCGTTTTCCTGGTGTGTGGACCAGAGAGCCAAGCTTTGCATGGGTCTTGATGAATAGCAGCGCTGCGCAAATGCTTCAGCCTCGGCGGCGGTGTCGCACTGCAAAGGCATATGCACCACGGACCCACATCCAGTGCCTCATATTACCCCTCTGACCTCACTCCGTACCCCTTCAACCACTACGCAGCTGGGATTTGCCCTGGCCATCGCCGGGGCTGTCTTCATCACCGTTCCGCGTGGCGTCTCCATTGGGGAGGTCTGTGTCCGGCCCAGCCGCATGTCCTGGAACACCACGAAGTCGACCTACCAGCTCAAGCTGCTAGCCATGGTCCCCGTCTACAATCCCAACTACCTCAAGGTAGGAGCGCATGATTTGTTGTTTGTTTGGGCGAGGAGAGCGGGGCGTGCTACACCTTGTGCAACAGACCTCGGGTTGGGAACATGCGGGTTTGACTGTGAGCTTGAGCCCAAGATCAGCCACTCTCCCAAACTTCTGCCTGGGCAGGCCCACATTGAGGGGGAGCTCCGGGTGCTGTTCTACAACACGGAAGCTGGAAAGCAGAGCATGGGCTCCGTCAAACTCCCAGCACGCTCCTCCCCTGCGGTGGGTGCTCCTCTGAGGGAGGTCATCCTTTCCCAAAGGGGGTGCTGGCGCCTGAGCGTTTACCCCAGACCGCGCCTGCGGGAGGATCTCTTACATAGAGTGGGCCATCCCAGCTTCGCCCGGCGCGCTCTCAAGCTACGTTCCTCCCCTGCCATTCCCTGCAGATCATCGACGTCACAATCGACGCCTCGGATGTGCCATCGGACTACATCCTGGCCATCCTCTCCCAGTGCTCCACCTTCCCGGAGGTCCTCATATTCTTCCTGCAGGGCAACCTCACCGTGAGCGAGGGCAGGTTGTGCCTAGCGGGTTCTTTGTAGACGGACATTGACCCAGTGGCTCACCTGCGTCAACACGGAAGCTGGAAAGCAGAGCATGGGCTCCGTCAAACTCCCAGCACGCTCCTCCCCTGCGGTGGGTGCTCCTCTGAGGGAGGTCATCCTTTCCCAAAGGGGGTGCTGGCGCCTGAGCGTTTACCCCAGGCCGCGCCTGCGGGAGGATCTCTTACATAGAGTGGGCCATCCCAGCTTCGCCCGGCGCGCTCTTAAGCTACGTTTCCTCCCCTGCCATTCCCTGCAGATCATCGACGTCACAATCGACGCCTCGGATGTGCCATCGGACTACATCCTGGCCATCCTCTCCCAGTGCTCCACCTTCCCGGAGGTCCTCATATTCTTCCTGCAGGGCAACCTCACCGTGAGCGAGGGCAGGTTGTGCCTAGCGGGTTCTTTGTAGACGGACATTGACCCAGTGGCTCACCTGCGTCCAAGTAGCCTATCCTCTCAGACTCCTGCTCCTTGGTGTCACTCTCAAGGCCTTGGACTCGTGGGACTACACAAGTCCAGCCCCCAAAACAGGCCTCCACTCACCTCCTCCTCTCCCAATCCTGCTCCCATGCAGGCTCGATATCTATTCCAGCGCCAGCATTTGACGGCCATCGACACCTACTTCCTCATCGACTGTCGCAACGGTGGCGGCATGCAGCCCGACGATGGTCCGCCCAGCGCGACGCCCGCGCCATTGGCTCTGGAAC